GCAGGTCAGCTGCCAGTTTTCCGTTCAGTCAGATCTACTGTTATGGTGGACTCTTCCTTGTCTCAGGGGTCCAGGGAATAGAAGGACCTCTTGGGATTCAGAGCTCCACTGCTCTAGAAGAAATTGTTGCTTTTTGGAAATGCTGTGGATCTTTGTTTCCCAAATGAAGTTGTTATTGGAATGTCTATTTCCTAGGAAATGTTTTAACAGTTTTCATTCTAAATCAGGTCAAATTAAGATTTCAAACTGGTGAGGTTTCTCAGAAAATGTAAATTCTGAGCTGTGACCAACTCTAACCATGAGAAACTTCTAAGTATTTATAGTATGCTCCAGCTGTAAAATCCTAGAATGGGCAAAGTCTGAGAGCCTGAAGGCTTATTCGCAGGACAGATAAGACTCAATTGGAACTAGCAGTTGCAACACAGAGCACGTCTCCAGAGCTGTGTACAGCCAGTGTGGAGCAAGTTAGCACACTGATATGACACAGCACACTGTTGTGCAGAGAAATTACACTGGATTGCAGAAACAGTGAAATGGTATCAGTAACCTTGCAAGCTGTGAAGCGTGCATTCTCCTGCTCAGCTGTAGTACAGTTAAGAACTACACTGTGCAATGGATCTAGTTTTCTCTAAGCAACTGGAGAAAAACATTTGTATTTCCTGACTTTGTACTATTTTAACCATAGAAGTATAACTTCCAAAAACTAAACTTGTACTACCAGCCTAATTTGATGTGCTTTTTTTATCAACTTATAAAAACAATTATTTTAGGTGATTCCTTAAAATTGTTTGGATAATCAGGTCATTCCCAAACTTACTCAGAAAAGGCGATTCCTCTTTGTAGCTACACTGAACAAATATTTCTGTTGCTTCTGTGCAGGTGGGAATTGGCAGTATGGGTCACCTAAGATCTATCTCATCAATCTTCTCACACACAATAACTCTTCTTTTTTCTGGCTCTCAGTACCCATATGCCAAGTTAACAACTTCTTCTTGTATGCAACTTTGCAACAGTAAAGTATATCCTTTGAACTATGTTGGTTTGGTTTTGTTTTTTGGGGGGGCTTTTTTGTTGTTGACGTTGGTTTTTTTTTTATTTTTTTTTTTATTGTGAAAACCTAGCATCTCTGTAGAACTACTGTTTTATTATTGTCATTATTGAGTGGATTTTCTGCATCTTCTCCCTTTGGACAGTTGTGAGTTTACATTTCTTTCCACATACCAACTGGATGGTAAACTGTTACCTGTAAAGGAATGACATTCTAGGCATCTAAGGGAGGCTGGCTATATCATAAGATTTGATGTTAGTTCTTTATGGAGGACATAGCAGAGAGAAGTATTACTTCTGTGACATGGCTCTCTCCTCTTTATCTAGTTGTTCAGTCCTCTACGGTATACTTACAGGCAAATTAGTCATCATGGATATCATTGCATGCCATTTTGCATGACATAAAATCATTCAAGGAAAGAAAGGATGAAAGTGTGAAGTCTACCCACTTTGTAACAGCAACTGTAGGTGATAGCTCTTTTAGGAGAAACTTGTCAATCTGTAAGCACATACTGTTAATCAGCTCATCTATACTTTGATTAGGAATCCTTTTACAATGTACAGAATAAAGTGCTTGAAAGCTGGTCAAGAAAAAGACTGAAAGTTAGAGGACATTAAAAATAATTTATAAACAGGAAACTTGGCTGTTCTGAAAATACTAAAAACACACTGGAATTTAAATTTGATAATGCATTGAAAACCAGGGAAGGATACAAGGTGTTGAGCAAAATCAGGGTGTTTCTGAAACTGGATGATAGTGAGATAGACACATCGTAGCAGGCATGTTTCTCTGTATTTCTCTTTCTTTCTTAGCTAGTGGTCATCCAAAGCCCCCAACTTTAATGGGAAGGCTCAAAACTATTCTCATGCTTTTCATCTGGTTTGTAATTATTTCTTTATTTAACTATCATTCTTCTTTGGAAAACAACATTTACTAAAAATTACAGTGATATGTGGAATTTTAGCCTGAAAATAAAGACTTGTAAAAAAATTGAAAACAACCAGACAAAAATATTTATTTTGTTCTGGTTTGGGTTTTGATTAAATAAGAATGCATATCTTGAAAGGTATGCACTGTAAGCAGTCCTGCTGGATGCAATAGTAATTCAGATTGCTAAATTAAGCATGTCTGTAAAGCCCGTAGGATCAAATAATTGTAATACATTGCTATTGTAAAAGATTGTGAAATGCAGGAAAACAAAATGGGGTTTAGATGGCACCTGGCATAGAATTTTTCCAAAACTGCTGCACAGTTAAGCTAGGAATTTAAGAAAAAAAATCAATTGTATTGAGTAATCATGTTTATGTATGACTGCTTTGGATGTTTTTCATTATCCATATTGCAAAATATTGTCCAACTTCAAACACTCTTAATATGGGTTGTCTGCACTTTTGCAAAATACTGGCTTATGCAGAGAGCACACATACAAAAAGAACGTTTTACAGCATCCAACTGCCTCAACTGCATAGAAACAAGGAAACAAGCGGGAAAAAATGTGCCGCTCAGGTTTTGGCAGATAGCCTTTAAGGAAGCGGTGCCTCTTCCCCGGTGTCCTCAGGAGGGGGACCCGGTCCCTACCTGGAGGAGACACCCCCCACTCCCAGGGCGCGGCAGCGGGGTCTGGGCCTCGCTGTATGGCTTCGAGAGACACTCAACCCCTGGCCACGGGGAGCAAAAGCGGAGGGGAAAGGCAGGGGAGTGCGGGGGAAGCGATGTCCCCGCCGGGCTGGCGCGGGGTCCTGCTGCCCTCTTCTGGCTGCCGCCCCCACCTCGCCCCGAGGGAGCTGCGGGCCCCTCCGCACCCGCCGGCCCTTTTGGAGGAACCTAAGACATAAGCACTCTTCTAGACAGACACCAAATGGGCACCAGCACCTGACTGGGGAGGTAGGGGTCCAGACCAATTCTGTATGAATTTTAATCATTGCAAAGTCTGAAGTACACTCCCCAAACTGCACATAGTGTAGACGTAGGAGCCTCCTTACTTCTTGGATGTGAGCCACTCCTGTTGTGCTAGTGAACACAGCCAATCTGAAAAACACCATGAAGAGAAGAAAAAATCTCTTGCACCAAACCATCTTGCGAACATGTGAAGTATGGACTCTCCCTGCTTACACAGAGCCTGTGCAGGGAAGGAAAGCAAGAGTGGGACAGATACTGCTCTATGTGTGTTGACATACAAGTCACTGACTTCAGTTTGGACCTTTGACAGGTTTGCTGGGTGAGTCTCTGACACTTCTGCACTGGTAGACAGTACCTACAAGTAGTGTCATATAGCTTATATGCCATGTACTAGATATCAGCAGAATATCTCACCCTCCCCCCACCCCCCCCCCCGATTTAATTGATGCAGTTTCTCACTCATAAGGGATAGCATATGCATGTTTATGCTGTTTGTCAAACTGATGGCAGCATTTCACACTGCTGCATTCTGCAGTATAGGCACTTCCAAAGTCAAAATGCATGAATTAGTACTCATGTTTGCACTATCACTGATACAATGTTTGCCTATGCAAAGACTTTTTTTTTTTTTTTTTCCTGAAAAAAATATTAAGGTTTGCAGTTAAATTCTGTTCTTATTTTTCACAGCAGTATATAAACACCTCAGTTTCAGTAAAGTTGCTCTTGATTTGTGCTGTGACTGAGAACATCATGTCTCATGCCATTTCGTGAATTGTTAGCTTTCAGGTGTAACTCTTCTGGGAATCATCCCTAACTCTATAGCTTTTCTGTGTCATTTTTGAATATGATCCAAAGATGAGTTTGCATCTTTGGTAGCTTTATATGCACTGGCATGGATCCCCAAAATAATACAGTTGTGGTAGGAGTGTACTAGCTGCAAAACCTATCAAGGAACCTGAGAAAATACAGAGGTATTAATTCAGAACAAAGAAATATCTCATGCAGAGCTCCATACTTCCACAGCTGGGCTGTGGATTCCCTGGAGGGACAGACAGATCCTGGAGGTTTTTCCCCATTTATTCCATGTCTTTTTGTGGTAGAGAAACCATAGGAAAACAGAGGATCTCTCAGGAGTAGTTGACCCTCAAGTCTACTTCAGTTGAAGGTCAGGGAAGAGAGTCTGGGAACGGTTGGGCGTTTCGTGTAGGACTGGGTCTGTCAGGGCTTCCAGGTTTCCCTGTCCTGAGCAGGAGCCCAGCAACCTGGCAGGTCAACAGCCCTGCAGAATTCAGCTGTGGGGTACCACCCCTCTGCATCTGCTGCTGCACAATTCAGTTTTGACAAGCTGGCATTTTCAAAAGAGATAATGCTTAGTCAAAAAATGGCCAGCCAGTTGTGAGTGATGTATTTGGTATGCTCCTTCTGTAGCTAGGGAAACAGTAAATCAGCCAGGCTGGATTAAAAAATGGAGATTCCCAACAAGTTTCAAATTGTAATTGTAGGGGAAAGAAAAAAAAAAACAAAAACAAAAAAAAAAAAAAAAAAAAAAACCAAAAAACCAAACAACCAAACAACACCAACACCAAAACACAAACCAAACAATCTGCTGTTTCTCCTCTTTTCTGTATAAGCAATAGCAAAGGGACTGTGTGAGAGAATTGCAAAGATACTCTAAGGAGGGGTTTACACGGGTGTGAGCCCATAGATGGAAGGAAGATGAAGTTAGTGGATCAATACATAGTGTTTTCTGTAATTGTTCTTCTGTCCGTAGTTATGGTATCTGTGCTGGCCAACTTCCCAAAGACAAAATGTAGCATTGCAGTCAGTGCTGAAGCGGACACATACTTGGTGTTGCTTTCCCCCAGTAGCATGTGGAAGAGATTAGATAAGTGAGGTGGCTCCTGCTGCGGGGAGTTATTCACGCTTCGGAGCACTTGAAAGGTATGCTGCTTCTCAGACATTAGTATGATCACTGCCAGAAAGTGTCTAGGAAAGCTGCTTTATCAAAAAGCAGTACACACCAGCACAGCCGCATGGCTGATTTAAAGTCAGAATTAGTCCTCGGCTTCGGTTTATGCTGCGGCTATAGGTAGCCTCAGAGAAAAGGGCAGCTGCTATCTTTGGTGTAGGTTCCTGACGATCAACGTGAGAACCAAGAAATCCAAACTACCAGTAACCTTTTCCAGCCGCGTGAGATTCTATTTATTGGAAACCGCGTCGCACATGTACTTTATTCCAGTTGGGTTTGTTTGTTTGTTTGTTTTCAGGCGAAATAAACCCACTTGGAATGAAAGGCAACCTCTTAGGACGTGTACCTATCCCCGCCGGGCGCCTTGGGGTAACAGTGCGAAGAAATGCCGGCGGCCCCCGCGGGAGAGCCAGAGCCGGCGGGAGCCGCGGGGCAGCCCCCTCCTCCGCCCCGGGCAGCCGGGAGGGGCTGGAGGAGCGAAGGAGTTAAAGGGAGGTGCTTGGGAAATCTGATGCTAACGAAGCCCCAGGAATGTTGCACATTTCCATTCCCCTCCAGCTTTCGGAGGAGGTCAGTCCCCGCTGCGGACCGCCGCTCGGAGGAGCCCAGCCCCGAGGCCGCACTTGCTCCGGGCGCTGCCCCGCACCTTCCCGCAGGTTACGCCGGGAGACGCCGGGGCGGGACGGGACGGGGCAAGGCAAGGGGCGGTGGGTAGCGTAAAAAGTTTTTCCTGGCTTGGGGATGCTCTGCAAAAGAGTGGGAGAGGGACGGGGGTGCCCGCGGCTCTGCGCACCCCGGGCTGGGGCGGAGGGAGCAGCGGGCTCGGGCCGCCCCGCGAAGAGGGGCAGCTCCCCTGACCCGCCGCGGCCTCTCTTCTCTTGCAGGCGCGGCCGGAGATGCCGGGGAGACGGCTGTGGTGGGCGCGCTGCTGGCTCGGCGTCTGCCTCTCGCTGCTGGGCGCGGGGGGCGGCCCGGCCGAGCCCTGCCGCGGCCCCCCCTGCGGCGGCGGCGAGGCGCCCCCGCCGCCCTGCCGCGGGGCCCGCTGCGGCGGCAGGGCCGGCCGCCCGGCGCGCTCCTTCCTCCACACCGCCACGCCGCTGCGGCCGCCGCAGGGCAAGGCGCCGCCCGCCGCCCCCCACGCCGCCCCGCCGGCCGGCAGCGCCCCGCACCCCGCCGCCGGGGCGGCCGCGCCCGAGGCCTGCCCCGGCGGAGCCTGCGCCGCCAACGGCACCCGCCGCGACTGCCAGGGCCTGGAGTGCCGGCTGCCCCCCCGCCTGCGGCCGCGGCCCCGCGGCCCGGGCTGCGCCGCCCCCGCCGAGGGCTGCCCCGAGCCCGCCCTGCTGCGCGCCGCCGAGAGAGCCGCCCAGTTCGCGGGGGACGACTTCGCCCACGCCGGCCCCGAGCTGGGCGGCGGCGCCCTGGGGGTGCAGCTCACCTGCGACGTCAAGCCAGGTGCGGAGCGCCCCGGGGGGGCGGGAGGGCCGCGGCCGCGGCGTCTCAGCGTGCCTCGGCGAGGGCCGCCGGCGCGGCGGCGCCGGGTCTCCTCACGCCTGGCCGGAAAAGGGCTGGAGCGCCGCGGGGAGCTTGGCCGCAGGGGCGCCCGCGAGGGTGCGCCAGGCCTTGTCTGGGAAGAGTGAGGGGGCAAATCTGGCACGGGTCTTCGTGGTGCCTGGGAGAGCTGCTCCCCCGGCTGCTCCCCTTCACCTCCCCTCCCCACGCCTAAGAGACCCACAGCAGGTGAAACATGGCAAAACCTTTTTTAATGCTATTTTAAAACAAGTGTAAGAACTCTAACTGTCTCTCTCTTCACAGTCTGGTATTTCTGGGGTTTTTAATTTATGGAGTCATCATACAAGGCTTCACTTGGGTATGTGTAAATTCCACAACCAGGATGGGCAGACTGGTGCTGTTGGTAAAGCAACTTGCTACTGCTGACAAATTGTCTTGCTGTAATAGCCAGCAAAAAAAAAAAAAAAAAAAAAAAAAGAAAAAACAAATGCAGAGCCTCTCTTACTGCACATCATTCAGAGCACTTGTCTGTCAGCTGACGAGAGCCCAGCTCTGGTCAATTCAGTATCCCTGTGGGAAGCCAGGTATGTCCATAGTTATACTCACAGGTCAGCAGAAGGTGTTACACAATTGCCTGGGACATGTGGATTTACCCACATGAAAAGCACCAGCAGAGCTTTAATCACCACAAAGCATTTCAGGTTCTGGTTTAATGCCTTATCTGAAGTACGTAAAATGTATGAGGAAGGGTGATGTATTTTATTCCCGACTGATGTTAAAAGGTAATGGAAAGCATGAAGAAGGTCATTTAAACTTTGTCACATCCATGTGGCTAATCTGAGGGCTGTGGCTGCTTCAGACACCAGGGTACATGCCAAGCCTCCTTACCAAGGTCTACTTAGTGAAATGATACCTCCTCCAAAGCAGACTCCAGCACTTAGTGGTGATTACAGTCCCAGGGCTGAGATTTAACCCCTCCTTTTGTCTAGTGCAATGATACTGTCTACCTTCATCTTGCCTGATACTGACTGCTCCCAGATGTCTTACCTCTGTATGCTCCGTGACTAAAGGTGGACAGAAAACAGAAGTCAGTATGGTTAGCCTCCTTTTTCTCTGCTTCTGTGCATATTCTTTGTGCTATCATCATAACTGCTATGTTTCCCTTTTGCAAAAGGACCCAGGATATTTGCATTTTCTTTGTCCTTGCCAAAATCCACCTCTATGTAATACAAGCCCTGTCAAATAATTAGGGCATTCTGCATGGACAGAAAAGACTAATACTTGTTGGATGGTGCTGAAAGCAGACATGCTGTATCTCCATGAAGGTCTTGCAAAGAGCATCTAGCTCAGCCTGACCTCTTTCTCCAAACATCTTCTTATTCTTTGGTTGTCTTTAGAGGACCTGCATCAGTCTGTGCTTCCCAGTCTCCAGTACCGTCAGCACTTCCAGCTAACATGGTGAGTTACAAGCACCTCTCCTCTAGGCCTTAGGGTTAGGTCCTCTGTCCCCTCTGACATGGGGCAGAGGTAAACGGAATAAGGGAAATTAAAGCAAAAGGGTTGGAGAGTGGAGATACTGGGGATTTTGGAGACTTGATGCAGAGTTCACGGTACTCTTTCAATTTTATGCTCTTTGCAGGCCTGGTGCTGGGTGAAGTCTGGGAGGAACAGAAGTGTGGTTAGAAGTTTCCCTTAACAAAATCCTCAAATGCATCAAGAATTGATTATACGTTATGGCCTGTGCATTCATCTCCTTCCTGTGGCAGAGAGAAACATCCTGTATGTTGGAGGGAAAGCAGTGTACAGCACTGCCCAGTAAACCGTGTAATCTCATGGAAGGCACTGTCAGCATGGAAGCACAAAGTGAGCAAACCTGTGATAACACATGAGCTTCTGTGTGTGAGAGAGAGTTTTCAGATGCGGACAACTACACCCTTAGAAATTCTTCCCTGTCACTGTTTTTGCCTTGTGGCCAGTGAGTGACACTGGTTGGCACCAGCCCACAGCAAGGGCCCACTGCAGCCATAGTGGCTGCAGTTGGTGTGGATGAGACCTGCTGTAGATAATACTTCTGTCCAGACTGGACAAAGGACATATATACATGTTTTTACCATTCCATATACTGGACCCAGGCCTTCACAGGGCAGCTTTCCCTCCTAGGAGTCTGGATTCATCAACATCTAGCAGAAATTCAATATTCTTGGCATTAGGAACAAAAAAATAAGCCATGTTGACAGTCTTTGGTTTCCTTCAAGTCAGGGCACAGGCAAGCATCCAGTATTCTGCTCTGCCTGCAACCTCTAACATGCTCTGTGTTTGCCTGACACCACCTTTTGAACACCGGTCAATGCGTTTCCTGCATTAGTGTAGAGAATACCTTGTTCAGTCCTCATTTGCAGCTGGAGTGGTGCGCTCTTAGAGATGAGCATGGTTCTGCATTGCAATTCCAGCATGGCTTGTCTTCTAGAGTAAACAACAGAATGTGATAATCAGAAGTCTGCTTAGAGTGCATTTATGGTTGTCTGGGGAGAGCTGCTACTCAAACAGCATGCAGTAATCATGATGGGACAAATGCAGGTAAGGAGCATGAAGAGTGTACTGCAGCCCTGCTACGGGAGACTGAAAGCTCACTCAAGAGCTGTGCCCAGTCTGTACGGTGGAGGTGGTCGCTTTCCTGCTGTGAAATTTTGTGGATAGATCTCTCTATGCAGATACAGCAGGAGCCTGTCTTACAGCTGTAACTTCATGGAGAAGAGACAGATTCAGGGAGAACTGCCTGTGGTGATCAGTAGTGTGTGAGGACCAGCAAGAGCCCCTCTGAAGGAAATCTAGGGTCCTTGAGTTCATCAGTGAATGTGCTGCAGGCAGGCTTAGCTGAGGTCTAGGATTCTCTGGGGTTAGTCAGAGTGCAGAGTTGCCTCTAGTCCTCAGAGTGGCTGCTGTGTGTTCCCAGTCCTCTTTTCAGTGTCTTCTGAGATGAACCTGCTCCATGTGCTCAGCATGTGACTTAAGTGAGCAGGAGGCAAAGAAAATACTGCAGTATTTTTTCTCCTGTGCACAGTACATCTTTTGCATGACTGCAGAGGGATATTTATGAATTTTACGGATGGTGCAGGTGTATGCCTCCACCTCAGGCAATTATACATTTATTTTAGGCTCCAGGAACTTGTCACACAGTTGGAAAGAACACAAGTTTATGACAGATTATATGCCACCTCTACATCCTCACCCATCCTCCTAATTCTTCCTCAATTAATCACCCCAAAAGAGGAAGTTTCTCTGACAACCATGTGCAGTGAATTCATCATGGGCATTTCTAGTGTTTTTAGATCAAGGATAAAGGAATGGTTAGTTTCTGGTGGAAGGAAGAAACAGAAGGTGGTCCGGCACTTCAGTTTTAACATCTAAGGTGCTATAGCTGAAAACAGAGGAAACCATCTATTCAGGAAGAAACAGGTCAGTGACTGTTCCTCTTTCCCTTGTTTTCAGGGGAACGTTTCTGTCTGGTTACCATTTCAGCATGTCACTCTGAGGCCAGCTGCATGAGGTGTTTCTTTGCTGTTGCCTTCTCAGACAGCAGGGGAGCTGGAATACACTGCCCTACAGCCATTTTTCTGCCATACACAGGTGGAGACCTGGTGGCCCACCCCTTCCTATGACTACCCGCTCTATGACAGTGCATGAGTAGATTTGCAGTGATTCTTCAGTCACTAAGAGAGACCTCCCCTCCATTTTGCCTGGCTGAGAAGGCTGTTTTGGTGAGCAGACTTAATACTTTTGTTCAACCTGATGTGTAGCCCCACTCATGTGAGGTGCAGTCTACCTGAATGCTTGCTGAAGATGATGCCTGATACCGGCCCTCCAAGATACAGGCCAGTATCAGGGGCTCTGGCTGGTTCCCAGCACTGTGTCTGTGTTTGCAGGCTCATCTGCGTGAGACAGGTAACTGTTTTACTCTCCACCAGCTGTCTGCCAGAACCAACACAGCCCTTCTGTGGGGATCACTCAAACATCATCATCTTTTCAGCCAGTACTACCAGCACCACAGCTACTATGTGGAAAGCTGCTGTCAATCGCACCTGAACCACCACTTCTGTTGGCCAGGTGGAGGTGCCGGAGTGTAGACTTTTACTCCCTTTTCAAATCAGATGAGCCCATTCCTCTGCAAATTTGTCACTCATTTCTCAGCAGCACCGTGAGTACACTTCACTTCAGATGAAAGACTGGCATCCCAAAAGAAGAAATGCACAGGACCTATTTTGTCTTATCATTTTGTATTCCTCTGTGTTTCTCTCCTCATTCATTAATTGCCATTAAATCCTTAATTTTTCCTATCAGACCCATCTTCCTGTTTTCTTTTGGACAGACTTCTCCGCAGCTGCAGACACCAGCATTTGGGCAAAATAATGTTCAGCTGTTTTATCTCATACCTGCCACACCCGGTGAACGAGGTTGTAGGTTCTCATGCTGTTGCTATATGTGCACTGAGCAGTGCCTGCAGCCCACTCACTGCTCTTGTCTCCTGGGGTTACCAGGAGTGACTGGCACCTTGGGATTGCTCTGTGCTCTCTGGTCCCAGTCAAGATCTCCCTTTCCTCACAGGAGGTTAACTGCTTTTAGCCTCTGGCTCTCATGCAGTGGCAGACTGTGCCAGAGGGCTACCTTCTCCGCACAGCATGCCCTCAGGATGACATGTCCTTTCCAGGCATACTAGGGAAATGTAGCAGAGGTTCGTTGTTTGCAATATGGATTGATCCTGGAAGCATGGAGCAGATGTCTGCAAAGCAGACCTTGCCATGGCTGTCTGTGGTTTGCGTGTACAAGTAATATTGCATCTGTGGTTGTGGGAACATCTGAGTGTTGCTAGTGGGTGTACCTGTTTGATGTTTGTCTGGGCAATGTGAAAAGGTACCTAAGTGGGATTGCTGTATCTACTAATGTGTAAACATCACTTGCATTGGAATTCTTTTCATAATTTTAGACATCTGCGATAGAGACATCCTCATCTGACATGTTCATTGTGCATTACATTTATACAATTAATGGAGAAAAACAAGGCCATATTTAGGGCACCCTGCATCTGAGCTGTTGTAGACATCTCCTTCAGAATTCTTTTGACAAACAAGATATCCCTTCTGTTTAACTGAATGTAGTTTATTTTCAGTAAAGTCTTTTCTTTTGTGCAAGAGCTTTATTACACTCTCAGTTGCTCTGGCATTGTGAACTGCCAGTAGCACTGACTGTACTATGCAGTGAAGGGCCTCCTGTATCGGTAAGTGTAAGTTTAGTGATAGTCCTGCAAACTGGATAAAAATGAGAGAAAAAAAAAAAAAAGTCACAAATGATTTTTTTAGGCTGCATATTCTCACCAGCTGAGCTTTAGACAGCCAAAAGGAGCAAAGCTAAATTGACAGACTGGAAGGTAGCTGTTTGTAACAAAGTTCTGTAAGGCTGTTTAGGACAGAGATAATAGAAAGCAGGTCCATCAGGTGAGTAAGCTTCACTACAGTCAGTACTTAAAATTATAGCCATTGTTACTGCCAGCAAGTCAGTTACTGGTTGAAAATGATGCTCCTTAAGTATGTGCTTAAAAATAAGTTCTACTTTATATCTCTTACTAAATCAGGGCTTTAGTTAACCTTTCTTTGCTCTAATAGTTTTACTTATGTATGTGAGAAAAGCTCAGATTCCCAGGATGGAAAGATCCCAATAACCCTGTCTTAGAAGAGCCTGTACTCTCCCCATCAATAAATTTGTGATGGCTGGAATAATTCAAAATTATATTCTTATTGGTCCCTGAATATCAGCCACTGAGAACTGGAGGAAAGTGGTTTTGGAAAAAAGTGGATTGGTAATATATCCTTGACTATAGGATTCACTCTCCTGCAGTTAGTTCCCCAGAGGCAGTTCCTTGGGCTGACTTTTAAGTGGTGTAGTTGGACTTTCCTTTACTTCTGTGAAAATTATTTCTTTTTAAATTTTTCATTGAGAAAGAGGGTCAAAATGCCTAGAAAGGGAGAGTTCAGTGCTGTTAATTTCACTACTGTGTGCTCCTTACAAACCTAGATTTGTTAACATTTCAAGTTTAAAGTCAAGATCATCTCTTTCTGAAGTTCTTGACAAAGGCAGGCATGTATACAGCTCATTCAACAGTAAATGCAATGACTTTTAGTACTATGTAGCAGTTTCCTAGGGGTATGAATTTAGATTTTAGGTTTTCTGGTGTTAGAAGAATATTGTGCTCATTATTTACTACGCCTATATTATTTTTATCAATAACTGTATTGCAGTAGTATCACGGAGTCCTGTCCTCACATGTGATCCCAGCATGTAAGAAATCGTATTAATGCAGGACAAGAGGGTGAAGTCCCTCTCAGAAAACTTACAGGGAGATGTCCCAAGAAATGATTAAGTAACAGCAGTCAACATGATAGCCAAAGCCTCAATATGCCAGCTTTCATCAGCTATTTTTGTAGCTGCATATGCTTTATTTGGCCAGGTAAGGGCCACCCTTTTCCTTGCAGACTTTCCATCTGCTTTGAAGATGTAACTGTTGCTTATACATGGTGTAGTTCTTTTGCACTGTGTTGTCACTTGCACAGCCAAAATAATTGGAAGAGACTTGTGCTCTTCTGCCTGTATTCTCAGTTATAAGCCAGACTTCTGAGAGCAAAAGTTTTGTGAAAGGGAATTTGTTAATGTATTTCCAGACTGAAGCACAAATGGAGCCCATGTAGGTTGATGAAAAATCTTGATAGACAATCATGGTGTGCCTGTAACAGTCTTGCTGCCTGGTATCTGTCAAATCTATGGGCTGATTTCAGGCAAATTTGACAACAGGCAGAGGTATTAAAAGTAAGCAAGGTTGTGTAAACTTTGTAAGAGATGATTAAGGAGAGAAGATAATGGAGTATGAGCATCTGGAAGTTTGCCTTTTCTAATTGCTCCTAGCATTTTATTTGTCTTTTTGACCTCAGGGCACCAAACTGATTATTACATGTCTTTGTAGCCCAACATCTATGTCTAGATATATTACCTCAAGATTGTTTCCAAGTGGTAATAACAATCTACAAGTACATTTGATATAAAAAACTTATATTTAATTTTTTTTTTATTCAGTGGGTGCCTCATTTCACCTTTATCTCCATTGAGTTTCTTTTTGCGATTTTATTGCTGCTACTCAGTATCATAGACTCCTTTTGCAGGTCTTTGCAATTGACCCTTATACCCTTAATAGCTTAGTATTCTCAGCAAGCTTTATCACCTCATTTTATCTTCTCTACAGTGAAAATTGACCATTTACTCTTTACTGTATTTGAACACGTACGTAGGAATGATTAATCTGTTACTGAACCCCAGTGATGGTTAATTTATGCCCTGAAACATGGGGCTTGATTACAGTGTTTTTAATGTCTGCAACTATAAATGTTGTTGCTTGTGAAATGGAAGACCTTGTGGTCCCACAAAGGGGCCACAAAGATAGTAAAGGAACTGGCCTTATAATCATGACTTGGATTTAGTGAGACTTTTCATTAACTTATTAAAATTTGAATGCCTTTGAAGTGATAATACAGCAAGCTGGAAAATTACTTTTCTTGGACAATAATTAATCATTTGTATTTCAGGAGAAAATGAAGTTCCTTCTGAAGATGCCCTAATACTACAGCTGCACCTTGCAAAAGGGCATGAAAAATTTACTGAAATGCTAAAAAGCCAACAGCAGATCATTGTCGATTTGCAGCAAAAACTTGCTGAGCAGCAGCACATATTGGTTAGCCAGCAACGAGAGATTCTTGAACAGCAAAGAAAAATGTATGAGCAAATGGATCTGATCAAAGTCCAGTATGGCATGCTTTTTGATACAGTGAAACAAATGTCCTTTCAGAGTTTGCAAGAAGATATTCAAAATTATTTTGAAAGTCATCTTCAAGGACTTCAGAACCAGGTCAGAAATCATCTCCAGAAGTCATACTCTGTGCATAAAGTAGAAGTGGATGCAAAAGTGATTAATGTTGGGGAGACTTTGCTGGACTGTGGCCTTTGTGAAAGTGATGAATTTTGCAATTTCCAAAAGACACCTTCACAATGTGAAAAATGCACATTGTGTCCTGCTGGTTTTTTCCAAATGGCCGAGTGTTCTGCAAACTCTGATCGGATTTGCCAGGTGAAATATAATTCTGTATCTTTCAGTTACTGCTTATGAAGTATTGTGTTGGACATACTGGGATAAAATTCTGGAAATAACTGCTTGGAGAATTAGATCCAGTTTGAAGCATGTGCTTTACCGAATGGGTCTATGGCACTTCAAAGTCTGTCTGAAGTTTTTTGTGGGTTTTCTCTTTACTGGTTGCTGATCTAAATGGAGCACTAGTTTGTGCCTGTTGGGTGTGACACTTTCCCAAAGCTGACAGCTGGCAGGACTTTGATTCTTTTCATGATGGAAGGAAAAGATATCCTAAAAAATGTATACTTATGCATGCTAAATTTGTTTATTTAATCCCAGTCCACTCTACAGGAACTTCTCGACATCTCTGAAAAGCAGAGGAAAGCTTTGCTAAGCAAAACTAGAGGTCAGATATTTATTTATAAGTTTGGAAACAAGAGTTGTCAGTTAAAACAAATGTAAAAACTAGTTCCAGCTTAAACATAACATACAAATACATTATAATATAGGACACTAATGATTTTATTATTAAATAAATTTTATTATAAAATACATTTCATTATACAATACAAAACCAGCATGTAAGCAAAACAAGATGGTTCTTTGGCCACTTTCTCTCATTTAGAAGTCCTGAGATATACGGGGAACTAGATATTTAAAGCAGTGTCTTGCTTGCCAAGTGTTGCCCCCAATTCTTTGTTTAACATGAGCCTGAGTGGCTGGTGACCTAAGCCCGAGATACTGAGAAGAGAACCTGAAAGAGTCTGTCCAGTTCCTTCTCTGCTAGTCTCAGTTTTCTTTAATGCTAGCATTTAAATGAAAATGTAGCCCGTTACTCTTTCCCCTCTGCTGTAGGGTGAAAGGAGGGCTTGTTGACAGGAAATACTACTTTATCATTTACCTTTCTTGTGTGTGTTTCAGTACCTTCCTCCCAGACTCAATCTCTTTAGGAGATTTTTCTAACTCCGTCTCGATTGTTACAATGTCCTTAAGACCAGTAGAGTGATACATCGCTCTGGGATGTGTCACTGTCTTACAGTGGTACTTACTTGTGTGGTAACAAGTGTTAGTTGTGCAACCAATCCATTTAGCTTGTCATCTGCACGCTAATAGCTTTCTGTGAACACTGCAGTCTTCTTGTATACCTTGTTAAAGCAGGTGACAAATCCAAAACAAGTTGTCTTGCTCCAACATGATTATAAGATCAGACCCCTCTCCATCCCCACATACACCTTTTACTGGCAGATGGGTGTTACAGAACCTGAGGAAGTGCCTGTTTCAGATTAAAGTTGTTGCATTAAAGTATTTCAATATGATTCTTGTCATTTACAGGACAGAGACGAATGCACTGAATCTCCAAGCATTTGTGGTGAGAGGATAAAATGCCTCAATACTCCAGGTAAGTTATATTCTCTGATAAATAAAGAATGAAGATAATTAGGTATTCAGGAACAGGCCAGAGAGCTAGACAAAGACTCAGGCCTGTATGTTTGTGAGTAATGACATGCTCAGCTTGCTGGAATCAACGGGGTTGAAAAGCACTCAGCTGTAAGTTGATAGTTCTTCTGGAGAGTGGGCTATTTAGGACATAATATCCACTAGGAGCATTGGATGGTCCCTTTTACCTTATTTTTGTGGGATTTTATATGCTTTGGTTTTAATTTTCTCTTATGACCTGCCTTCCTTCTTGTTTATGCTGGTGCAAATGAGTTCAAAATCAAAGCTATTATTCCTAATGGAGAAAAATAGTTATTTTCCTTCTGCTGCACTGGGATAGATACTTGATTTGATCTAGTGAAGGTTCTTATAAGGCCTCCCTCCATCAATATTATTCTTCTTTAGTAACAGTATTGTCAAATACTGAAGAACTATTAACAGTTTCTGTCATTTGCAGGTGCTTAGGGGAAATTTTCAGGCATTTAAGAACAGATTTGTCTGTAGTCCTGCACTGCAGACTTTGCCTTCATTACTTCTTATGGCAGTCAGACACAAAAGAGCAAATCAGTAGACATACTGAGGAAATTATATCCAGGTACTAGGTTTCTTTCTACTTGTCTAATTTTTGATCAGCCAAAAAAACTCAAAAGGAACTCTGTGATCAAACAGCATTTCACCAGTTGTGACCTCGGCCTGAGGGCTCCCAGACAAATAACTGAGGAAGGGCTTCACTAGGTTTTATGTTTTTCCTCCTCTAGGTTTCTTACTTGTAAAAAGAGAGTGGCCCCTCTCCGAGAGGCAAGGGCTGTTTTCAGCTGATTATGAGTGATTTTGTACTGTTCCTGCCCAGCCACTGCTGAAGAAAAAAGTGGGAGGGAATTGATCCTAGGAAAGGGTTAAAAGAGGACATGGGCTTACTTATATTGTCCTTATTTCCTCTGGGCAGGAACTGTGGTGGGTTGGATGGTATTACTACAAACATCACAGGAAACTGGAAATGACTAGAGGAAGAGAGCACTTAGTGTTGCCTTATGTGGCAAATGCTGTAGAGGAGGTACCATCAGTCTTACAAACGAAGAGGCAAGACACTTTTAGACAACCTTAGTGATGGGCAGCTAGAGACAAGACAGGGCAAAAAATTTGAGACAGAGTATCAGAAAGCTGTAAGGCTTTGTCTTCTCTTTAGTAAGAGGCTGGGTTTGATTGAGTTGGTGGTTTTGTGGAATGAAGCCCACAAGGCCCCAGCCCTAAGAAAGGAGAGCCACCAGTGTGGTAGTCATTTGGTGTTGCTCTAGTCTGTACCTTGGAAGAGGGAAGGCTGTAAGGAATTTACCCAGTGGGTTCTGTGGTGGGGGGACCCAGACCAAGAGTGGGTCTATACAGCTGCTGGAGGAAAGAAAGTGAGGGCCAAATGCTGCCAAGAAACAGACAGATAGTGGTGGTGTGCCAGACTACAGAAAAGTAGTAGCAGTGTATTTGAAAGGAAAGGACTCTTCCCTTGATTCCTCATCTCTCAGTTTTAATGGTAGCTTGTAAAGATGTGAAAGCAAACTATTTCCCATCACCTGGATCAGTGTCCTGTCAATGTCATCCCCATCTACCGTGGAAGAGAGCGCTTTCTTTATATTTTTTATTAGAGAAAACTGCTACTTTTAGCCTGTCTGTTTCATGATAGCTCATTATCTTATACAAGTGCAATTAACTTGTCAAAAGGGAGGCTGAAACTGAATGTCTGTTTTGGGTAATGCAGGGAGGATGGGGATGTGATCTGACATATGAGTTCCAGATGTATGTGGCTTCTTGAGCTGCACACAAAGGTTGTTGCATCTGTAGCAACTCATGTTCACTGTATAGTGTGAAAAGAGACAGAGCAAATAACAGTAAAGAAGCATGCAACTAGAAGCCTCTCTTTCTTCACCTTTCCACTTTACATCGTACCTTCTTCCCCTGCTGTTTTTTCTTGCTTTTATCTGGGATGAGAGTTGTTAGGCTATTTGATTAAAGGCCAGTCATCAAGGAGCAGTGACAGCTGGAGGTCCCTAATCAACAAAAGTAGAGTCTAGTGCATCATTTCCTTCTTAGACAATCATGGGAGAGTGCTCAGACTGTCGCTTTTGGTGTGAACCTACCAAGCGGAGTCAGCCAAAGGCACTCTCCCCAGAATGCCGTGCAAGCTAAAGAGGACTTACTGTAGAACTTGCTGTTGGATGCACAGGGAAGAGGAGCAAGAACCTAGACAGATAGGCCTGTTTTATAATTAGCTGTGTTGATTTGTGATGATCCAAGTTTGACAGAGGGTTTAAAGAGAGATGGATTCCCATACGTAATCTGCTTGAATGTCACCTTTGCATCAGGCAGTTACGAGTAGTAACAGCAGAAAAATATATGCATGGCCTACTCAGATTGCCTTGCAATTGACTGGCCTCTGTGAATGGTGAGGGCTAGTGAATGTGCTGCAGAGATACTCGATTTCACAAAACCAACTTGAGTACAGCTGGGCTGCTCACTGTTTAAGCAGGTGCAGCAGTGTCCAGAGCAGGAGCCAGGAAGAGGTGGGAGAGGTTGTCAGGCAGTAAGGAGAAGTAGGAAGCAGTCACAGCGTGCTGCTGTGCTGGCTTTCTGATGTTTGGCTGTCATTTACTGCTTGATGTCTTCTGGACAAAGGGTAGGATGCTGCTCTTGCCACTGTCCACAGTATAAAGCAGCCTATGTGCTGCTTTGAAGTCACCTGTTTGAAGTACATGCAGGGGGAATGCCTGCTGCAGATGTAACCAATAAAAGACTAGACAGCAAATTGGTGGGAGTAGTCACCACATGTATTTGTAAAACTGGTTAAGGAGTGTCATGTGAGCAATTACACCAAGGTTAAAACTGATTTCAGAAGGAAAGTTTGCCTGGGATTTTTTTTCTGTATTCCCTCTAGAATGTTCTTAGTTGAAAAAATGTGATCTTATTAATTTGGCTTTTGTTTCTCATTAAAAAAGCCAGACACTTTCATGGGGAACAAACTGTTAAGTTTCTCTTGACTTTTTTCAAATGGAAAAATCTTACTGTTCTGTAGTGAGCTCTTTTGAGAAAATGATACATGGTCTCAGAAAGAATGTTCTCACATCATAAATTGTATAGCCCTACATATCAGTGTTAGTGAAGAATCATCACTTAAGTGAATGAAACATAAATAGACAAAGAGATATGAAGGTGAATATGTGACGCCTGTATAAATTAACACACTGTCTGGTGTTCTCTGCTGAATGATGTAGGTATCATAAATGAATTTTATCCAATATTCTGACCTCCCTTGTGGTTCCAGTGCATGTGTACTGCTCTGTCTTGCAGTTTGCCATATGTGTGTCGTGCTTTTCTGCCTGCATCAACAGTCTGCATAGCCAGCTCCACCCTGGGGTTAGCAGTGGGGAAAAATGGCTTGTTGGGGTCCATGTCAAATGGTTGTGGTCCCAATCTCATAGCAAATCCCAGCCCAGATATAACAACTTTCCAGCTGAGGAATAAAGCAAATGTATGACACGGTATTTAGACAAGTAAAGGGTATTTAAGTAGAGCTATAAGAAAGATGTTTATTGAATTTTGATTATGGTGTTCCAGAAGCAGAAGTGAGCGCATTAGTGATTAAGCTTTGAGGCACAAACTGCAAGTGGTTATTCTTTAGGGTGCCTCAAATCTTGTGTGTTGATTTAGATCCTGAAGGCTCTGCACAAAGGTTTTGGGCACTGGTCGCTCCAGCTGGAGGCATTGTCAGCTGCCGGTGCTCTTGGAAAAATGCCATAGAAAATTGCAGGCTGTTTTTAAAACCTGCTTTTTGGGTGTGTATTCTGTGATCCACTGAGGTCATGGTGTACCATTTAACAGCACAAAATTGCTTTATGTCAAATAAAGTAATTTCAAATGGCACCTCTAGATAGTCTCATTACTGTTTGCAGCAGTGTTTTATTTTAACTTTAGACTATCATAACCACTGCTGTGCTGTGTCTTAGAGCAGTGGGTTTCCACCTTTTAAATACGTGGACTACTGCATAATGATTTTAAGACTGCTGTTTACAATTTTGTTTTTTCTACTTGTCTCTTGCAGATTCTTTAAAAGCTGTACACAGAATGCCTGGGGTCCATGTCACTTGGGTTGAAAAGCACTGCTTTAGCAATCACAGCTACAGCAGTGATACCTCATAACATGGATGGGCAGACATTGCACATTTCTCCTTGCATAGGAGAACCTTCCATTAGTTGAAAATATCTTTGCTGGTCAATGCACCAGCTAGTCACCATGCCTTTTACCTCAGGGAAGGGAGAGAGTGTCTTTGGAACAGTATCATTGTATCTGATCCATTATAGGTTTTGGTTAGAATTGCCCCTATGTAGCTCTTTTCCCACTCAAAACCACTGGACTCAGCTTGTACAGGGTGAGTTACACTTAATATTTACTTTGCTTGCTGTTTTAAAGGTTCCTTTAATAATACAAAGTGATCTAATGTCATAATTATCTTCTGTTTTCTCCCTTATGACTAGATGTTATCAAAGATACTTGATATGTGGAGCTGTAGAGTTCTCATTTTTGGTATTTTAAAGGTATGACAGTAAAAATTGTTTCCTGTGAACAGGTGGTTTCCGATGCCTTGGAATTGCTGAGAAAGATGCAGCTTTGGGAGTGTGTGGAGAGGAGTATTTCTTTAATAAGGAAATGCAGGAATGCCAAGCATGTTTAAAATGTGAAGATGGAATGGTGGCCATGCCTTGTTCCACTGTCAGTGATACGGTTTGTTCAGCAACCAGTGGAAACAAGCTCTCAGAGTCTTGGGCTGCAAACATCATTCTACCCTCTGTGAAGTCTGGTATCTCTCAGGTCTACTCTGGCTTGAACTTGAAGATAAAGGGAAAGCTTCCCTGTGAAATCCTGTCTGTTGAAGATAACAGCCTGGTATTCAGGCAACATGGTTTGTTGTGGACGGACTTAAATTTTGCAGTCAAACACAACTGCAGGAATTTTTTGCAACTTTCCTTAAAGCTTAATGACAGTGAGGAAGGCTATGAACTGAGCAGTGTTCGCATTGAACAGCCAGAAGGAAAGTATTTCCAGAGCACTAGTTTAAGCAGTGCTGCTGAAGTGGAGCCTAGCCAAACTCTTTCTGTGTACTTGAGGAGCCCAAATCAATTCTGCAATCAAAGCAAAGATTTAAATGTTTATGATCTTAATACTCCACTCAGTTTGTTTTGGCTGTCCCATGACACAGGTGCTGTGGCACTCAGTGCACAGATGTCGACAGCAATGCATTACCAAACTAATTATCGACCTACCTTTAAAATAATTTCTGTTTCTGACCCTTACATGCTAAGTTTATCTCATGATGGCAGAGCTATAAAGTTCACTGAAACTGGTGTTGTCAAATTTGTGTTCCACCAAGCATTGTATTCCATGGGTCATACATGTGTCCGGGAGGGCTTCTCCTTAATTTCTTACATCAATAGGAATGGTACCAACAGAGAATTAATGAATGTATTTAAATCTGGGGTAAATTACAGAGACACATCAATATCTGCTTCTGGTGCCACAAAAGTTGGTGCTGGAGATCTGATTAGCTTTGAGATACTTTCTCCTGCACAGTGTAATGTTCGGTATTTTGGAGATAGTTCTGGAATTAGTATGTTTAGCCTCATCTGGATCCCTTCATCAGTTTCTAGTGCCTTATCAGCCACAGTTTCTGTTACAGGTCTGCCCACTGGAGCTGTGAGAAACAAATTATTGGATTTCACCCAGGTCTCATCCAATGAGAAACAGATACAGCTGGTTTCTTCTGGACAGCTTGCTCAGAAGTATTTCATTTTTACTGAAAAGGGAGTTGCCAGCCTTGCATTTAACTTGAAGCTAATTCATTCATGCAGTGTGCTCAAAATGACTCTCAATCAGTTGACCATGGATCACATGCAACCCACAGCAATTGCTCAGCAGATTGGAGGTCAGATGCCAGAGGGAAGCATATGGACCAGCGTGTCCCTCCGTGCATCTTTTGAAGTACGTAACGGAACACTGATATCAGTTTCTATTGACTGTGTGCGTGGAAGGATCAATCAGATCACTCATGAACAAGGAACAAGTGTATCTATTTTATGGATTTCGTCTTAATTTCTATACAGTCAAGATAGCACAGATTTGGGATTTAAATTGCATTTGGATTCAACTCTGATTCTGTACATATTTGACACCTTACACTGTGTTGACATGAGCAGATTGTCCCACTAAAATGCTTTTAATTTTAGGAATATTTAAATATAATCTTAATTGAATAATTAGTATTTAAAGAAAAACAGAGCTTTCAGTGTTCCAAGATTTTACTTCTGTTAACATCTTCAGCCAGGGGAACCTTGAATTCAAATGAAACTCTCTTATTTTTCATAAAGCAGTCTCTTAAAATTAGTTATTTCTGGGCCACAAAAAATTGCAGGTGAGGGTAAATACATACCTTTTAGCACTGGAGCTGAAAGCAGCACAGCCAAATAATGGAAACCTGCTTTCAGTTTTTTCACCACAACAGGCTAATAACAAGACTAAATGCACTTTGAGGTTAATTTGTCCACATCTTATAAAATTTTGTGCTTCCTATAAATGCAGAAAGCATGCCTCAAACTAGAGGTGATAATATGGTAACACTGGCGTATACATGCTTAATAATATAGAATGGACATGGGTCAAAAATTGAACATTGTTTTTACAGCAAAAGTATTGGAATTAATAACTGTTCTAATTTCATTTGGAGATAATCTGCATTTAAGTAATTTGGGAAGGCTTTTCCCCATTCTTAGTTTTGCCAGTGAAAAGTTGCAGGACAAGAAGGAAGGAAGTCTATTCTAAAAAGTAATAGTATATAGGAGAAAAAAAAAAAGAATATTAAAAGAATGTATTGAAAATGAGACTTTTGAAAATTAAACAATTTTTTATTCCATTTCTTATAAATGACAAAATACTTTTCTGAACAGAAAGGAACACCATTCACAAACATATTTATTTTGTTGAACAGGTACTTAATTTTAAAAGGGCACTTTTTTGTTTTTAATCATTCAGTTAATTCAAAGAAATGGTGTATTCGGTGACGCTGATTTTTGTCTTCTCCCAGATCTTCCGTCAAACCATCTTTTTTTTTTGTAACCTATGTAGAGTGTTTTCTCTCATTTTCTTCTTTCTCCTCCATAAACGCTGCTTCACTCTCTCATTTTTTTTGTTAGGAGTAAATGGCATGCCCTGTCACGTAGCTCAACTCTCTCCAGCCTTCTTACCATCCCTACTAAAGAATAGATATATGTATGTCACATACATAATTATAGAAGAGAGGGATATTAATAATGCACTTGCAGGCTGTCTTACATCAACCTTACTGAAAGAAGGAATATTATGCACGATATGACTTTAATGTAGGTGTCTGACTCACTATGTATATCTAAAATACATGTACTTTCCTGTGCTCTTCAGTTGCTTTGGGGTTTGTTACAGTGTTTTTGCTGTATAGTCTTCTCCTATCATTTTCTGTAAAAGAATGGACTCAAGTGCAAGTCTTGGACCTGGTGGTTCTATTTTTATTTGTAACTTTGTAACTGTGTCCTTAACGCCTGCGGTTATGTTTCCATTAATCTTTTTTTTTTTAATTCAAGTGTATGCTCAAAGATGCAGGCTTTGAACAAATCGCTCCCCTGATCCAAATAGAGAACAGTACTTTTTCTTGTTTTCAGCTGCAAAGTCTAGGCAGTCCATCACAACATACCTCACTGGACATTGTGTTGAAGCCAGTAATAGTATGCAAAGCACTGTAAGTTCAATTCTGGTGTCCCCACAGTCTGTGACAGAGGTCTCGGTGCCTGTGTGTAGCCAGGCTCTTTCACTCTTCTAAGGTCGTAAGGAAGGTGGTATTAAAGCTAATATTAGAAGTATTCAACATTTGCAAAATACTGTTATCATTACAGAGGATATTTTGTGGTGGTAGAGAAAAGCTACTGGAATGAGAACATACATATCTGTTATGTACAGAAGAGCTGCATTACCTCAGAGCAGAGCAGTGTTTCTGGGTACTTCACTCGAAGTATACTGAGACTGAGCAAAGATGAAATGCCACGGGAGTTGAAAGTTTTCTTATATATCTCTCTGCTTCCTGTAGAAGGATGCACGTGATGTAAGAGGAGCTCTGTGGAGAGCAGACCTGGGTATTTCTAAGGTAACACTTCAGGGGAAGGCAGTGTCAGAGAAGGCTCGAAATGATACGCTTATGGATTTTAGAGGAAGTTAAGCAAGTCACTTTCTCACAGACATAACCCCTTATTTTCTTTTGCTGTTTTGCGTTATGCGGTATAATGCTAATTTAAGAGTCATTCTAGATTTAAACCTGTGTAGGAGATATCAGAATCTGATGTTAGACATAATCTGGTACCTCTCTAGCAGAGTGCAGATGCTACTTGAATATAATAAGCATTTGCCTATGTATAGCATTTAGCAAATCTAATGTCATGATTTGTATGAGTATGCTTTATTTTAGTGAGATTTTGGTATCAGTGGAATTGCTTGAATATGGAAGAGACTGGTGCTGAAGTCCAATATTATACACATGTTGGTGGTACTTGCATTTAAATGCACTGTTATTAAAGGATGCTGAAACTACCAGGGAGGTACAAGTGAACATTATTTCAGCTAAGAGAGGTTTCAGAGTATGAATTCTTCAGTGTAATAAATCTCAGAGGATTCTGTGGGGAGTGCCTGTAATTGCCCTTAAATTCAGAGTACATTTTTAGATGCACAGTGGTAGAAATGCAGTATTTTGCATCCATCTGGTGGTGATAATGTATCTAATATTGTTTTGCTGATGTCATCTGTGATAAGGTATTCACACGATGAAAAAAAAAGTCTTAGTAAATATGTAGTATTAATTGCAACTTACAGCAAGCTTAGCCTTATTTCAGTCAAGAAAAGGCTGATGGTAATTTGAGCCTCTTTTGCATCTCTCCCTTTCAAAAATAAAAAATAAGCCTGAATCCATAGTTCAGGCCACTCACACTGGCCTTGGTTATAGTAACATGAATTTCAAGTGAATATGTTGGAATCAGTGTGGATTTATGATAGTCTAATTAATGGCATAATATATAGCCTTTGCATCTATGAAAATGAAACATATTGCCTCATACCATGCAATAGTAAGTGGTGCACTGTGATCCTAAATAACATAAAGTTCAAGAGGAATCAGACAATGTACAATGAATGCTAATTTTATGGCACTTATCCTGTTTGCTTTAATAAATTGCATGTTTTATTGACAGGTATATCTTACAAATTATATTTACAATTTTTGAACTTTTTTATTATCTTTTCATATGTTTTCTTTCTATTAGTAGCACAACATAATACTGTGAAGTATGGAAGTAATTTAACAACTTTTTTTTGCATCTTTTGATACCATGTTCATGAATGGTTTAAATAGCCGGAGACAGTCTCTCCAGTCCTTTCTGCCAGAGAGTGTTTCCAGTGGCGGTATTCATAAAGTAATAGAGTAAGTACGGGTCTGGCAGAATCTAGCTGTACAGAAAGAGTTTACATTAATACATCCAGGAAGGCAGGTGGTTATTTCACTTATGTTATGCAGATAATGGTCAACAGGTTGTCCTAGAAAACTTGACCATTACAGGAGGAAAACAGTTTAGATTGTGTAATTCTGCTCATACAAGAGGAAAAAGGATCTGGCTTATGAAACCGGGCATTGTTTTGTATTGTGAAACATTTTGCAAGTTCAGAGATTTTACCTGAATATATTTTATTACCTATACATTTTTTTATGCTTTCTATGAAGTTAAAACTGGGCAGAATATGTTAAGTCTATTTTAATATTGTGGATGCTTCCTCTGTTCTGTGATCTCTGCAGATTGCAGTACACTGTGAAAACTACACTAGTTTCAAGTGGTGCTTTTTTATGAAATTTCCTACTTTGAAATATTACCTTGTTTTAAAAATACTGTTTAGACACTTGCCTCTGTTAATATTATATTGTAATGTGTTCTAAGAGAACGTGACTGAAATAAATAAAACAGTAAGGCTTCACTGTTGTTTTTGTTCTGTTCTGAAGAAGTCTAATGGTGACTATTGTGATTATTTACCACTGACTCTTTTAGGACCAGAATTTCACAGATCACCTCTGAATTAGTTACCTGTGTTTGCTGAAGCCGCACTAAACAAGAACAGTAATAGTACACATTTCTAAAGATTGTCTAGTTTATCTGTTTTCTGTTCCTGCTGTTATAACTGTAGATTTGAGAAGATGAAAATTGCATTTGATGCTACTATACTAATAAATACTTGTGTCAAAAGAGCAGTACACTTTGCCTTGGTCATTGCTACCACTCTAGTAATAGGGAGAAGAAAAATCAGAATGCATTTTTTTAAAGGAAGAAATTTGTCCTGCCTTGGTACTTCATCTGCTCTCTGTCATATGCGGAAGCTTTGACTTTTGTGGAGGGTTCCTGATCAGACTTTTGCAGGAGCACAGCTATGCTTTTGTCAAGGTCTGTGGAAGTTAAAGCTCATGTGTTCTCAGTAGAGACTCTTTACAATTATTTAAATTATACAACTGTTCTTCTTTTCAGAGATGTTATTGTTTATTAGGTCTGAATGAAGGAGAGATGCTGTCAGATGACCTCCACTTAGAAATAATTTTGAAACACATTCCTCAAAAAAAACAATTTGAGACCAAACTGGTATTTATTTCAGCCTTTTCCATTAAAAGCAAAAAAGAGAAATTTTACATTATGTGGTTTTCACCAATTACATTTGTACTGATTTGAAGGGCTCAAAGAAATAATTCCTGTAAAAAGGGGATTACAGACATCATTAACATAGCCTAAATTAGGAGAGGATTAAATTCAGAGGAAGGATAAAAGAGGTATTTGTGAAATACTGGTGAAAAGAGTACCAACCTCCTCCAGGCTGGATCCAAAAGTGACTCTTCTCTTCTGGCCTTCCACAGCTAATATGGTTTATGCCCTTTCTATAACTGCCTGAACCATCTTGATCTTTGACCGCTGCATTCAATGGCTCTCTCAAATTTGCTTTATGTTTCTCTTCACGAGCCTGACATTGACTGATACTACATCCATACATATGTGTTTATAAGCACGCTGTGCAGCCAAGCCTGGTGTGCCTTCCTATGCTTGGAGGGTTTGCCTTAAAATAAGGCTCAGAAGATACCGTGGTAGTGGCATTGCCTGTGCTGCCTTGGTAGTGCTGCCTGACAGGAATAGGTAGTGAGTGGGCCTTAAAATAGCTGTGTTGCCAATATGGTGGACTTCAGCACCTCTGTATCTACATTTCTTTCACTGTCTGGCTCTGGATGTATAAAATCCAAATGACTGCAAAAGGAGGATCCAAGAAATTCTTGTCTGCATTAAATAATTGAATTGTTATTGCTGAAATGGAGTTTCTTGGCCAGCTGCAGCTTGTGTAACTTCCTTGGAGCTGTGCAGGCATGTTATGACCTGCAGGACTGCATCTTTTGTTTACAGGCTCTTCAGAAGAGAAACTAATCACTCTCCAGACAGTCTAATACAATCTTGTTAAATGACATCTCTTGAAAGTAGCCTTAAGTGGCTGGATGTAATTTCCTCACTAGAAGGGTGTTAATGCCTGGCTTTAGCAGAAGCTTGAAGTAAAAGCCTGTCATATTAAAATCGATCTATATATCCTTGGGTTTAAATAGAATTTTCTCTAAAGAATGATGGAAAAAGGATTTTTCAAAAGTTTCTATATCTTATGAAAACAATTTTTATGGCTTTCTTCTTTTCCACTTTTCCAATGGAAAGGTAGAGGAAAGAAAGGAAAATAAGAAAGTGAAGGTAGAGGGAATGGAGATAGAAGGAGAAAAATGTAGGAGAAGGAAGAAGCAATCT